TTTATCAGTGAGAAAACTCAGTCTTGGGAATGAGTAAATGGCCTTCCCAAAGCCATCCAGCAAAAGGAGCCAAGATGGAATTTCTAAGCGGAGTTCAAGATGCAGAGGCTTCCCATGGTTAGCAGGACAAGACCGTACCCTGAGGTGGCTGCAGGCCTCTGCGTGCCCTGACCGCTGCGTGTCAGTTATCCTTGCTTGAACAGAGGCTGTCTTCCACCCTGAGGCCGTTGCTCTTCTTTTTGACAAGGATACGATCAATATTTTTCTCCTAATTAATTTTATAATTGCCTTTCAGATCATGGCTATTCTGGAGAAGTTTCTTTGACTTTGTGGAGTAATAGATTAGGCACTCCCAAAGGAATTCCTCTAGCGATTTCAAATCTTTCTTTTTGGTGCTTGTCATAGTTTGCAGTTATAGATTTATATCTTGCGTGAGTCGATTCATGTGTTCAAGTTCAATGTGTCACGGGGAAAATGTCGGCTGTTGATCACCGATGTGTTTAGCACATGGCTGAGCACCCGGCAAGTGGCGGGTGAGCAATACGTGTTTAAAGAGTTCTTTTATTTATTTGAAAGGCAGAGTTACAGAGAGAAGGAGAGAGAGAGAGAGAGATCTTTTATCCACTGCTTTATCCCTCAAATGGCCAAGATGTTTGGAGCTGAGCTGATCCAAAGCCAGGAGCCAGGGGCTACTTCTACATCCCCCATGTGGGGGTAAGAACCCAAGGGCCTGAGTAGTTCTCCACTGCCTCACATCTGAAGGCCACAGCAGGGAGCTGGATAGGAAGTGGAGCAGCTGGAACCTGAACCGGTGCCCATATGGATACAGGCACCTCAGAGAGAGGCCCAGGCTACTATGCCACAGCCCTTGCCTTCAATACATATTTTTGAATGGAAGAGTAACTCCTAAGTCCAGGCTTTTGTCATCCTGTCATATACAAATATCTTGGGGTATATAATTTGAAAGAAATTCGTTTTGTTGTTGTTGTTTTTGCTTTGTTTTATATGAAAGAATTGTATATAATAATACCACTGATAATAGACTACGTGCAATGGGACAATCAGATAATTTGTTGGCACATGACTGAGCTATGATATTGAAAACTGGCTAGCTGTTCTGTACGGACTTGGAGGCTGGAAAAACCAACAGCAATCATTCCTTAGGGGAGAGTGATAAGGAGAGAAGAAAGTTGTTAATGAAACCAACTAGAATGCACGTTGACTTTACTGTGCCTGAGACACTTGTGAGGTATTTAATGACCCAGGAGTTAATCGAGGAGTCTGTGGCCTTGGACCTGTGATGTTTCTTAGATTCTGTAATTAGCTAGGTGTACCTTGTGGTTGTGGACTCAGAGAGTGAAGGTGTAACTTTGGGGGCGGGGGACAGTGAAGAAAAGAAGCACTGGGGTCCCTCCCTGGGCAGAGGCAGAAGCTGTGGGCCTGTCCCTGTGGTTTGATTTCCATGGGAAGGAGTGAATGATTGGGCATAAACAGGTTTGGGATTGGGTAATTAGGGCTGGTGAACCATGACCTGTGTGTAAGAACCCATTCAGAGAGTTACTTAGGTATGTGGAGCCTGGATTACTTGGTTTATGTAGGAAAGCTAGACCACGGGAGAGTGCTTCCTGTTGAGAAGGGCTTGGGCGTGAGCAAAGTAGAGGCCCAGGGAGGTACCAGATGGATTCTTAGGGTCTCCAGGTCAAGGTGCTCAGCGTGCGCACACAGAGCGGAGTGAAGTCTCAGGTTCTCTGAAGTTGGGGATGTGGCCAGTGCATGGTGGCTGTCCTGTTGCAGCTTTTTAAGTCTGATCTGTTCCTCGTTCACCGGAGGAATGAAGATCATGGCACCTGGCCTGATTATCCCGGGAACTGTGGTCCCGGGTTCTTAACCTGTTATCGACGTAGGCCTTGTAATCCTCTGGTTGTCTCAGAAGGCATGTGGCCCCATTATCAGAATCAACTTTTTTTTTCTTTTGAGATTTATTAATTTATTTGAAAGACAGTTGAGAGAAAGAAAGAGCGAGCGACAGAGATGTTTGAGCTACTGGCTCACTCCCCAGACGAGTGGAACTGGGCTGGCTTGAAGCCAGGCGCTTCTGAGTCTCCCATGTGGGTGCAGCAGCCCAAGCAGTTGGGCCCTCCTCTCTTTTTTCACTGGCATATTAGCAGGGAGCTGGACTGGAAGTGGAGCTGCCGCGACTTAACCTGCTGTAGGCCAAGGCATTGCCTGCTCTGCCATAATGATGGCCTCACGGATGTGTTTTTGTCAGCAAAGTGAAATATATTGATTTACAAAGGAAATTAATTATGTTGAAATACAGTTCTAGTTACAGGTGAACATCACTGAAATCCATTTGCCAAAAAGTACGGTTCACACCGTGAACCCAAGCCTGCTCAGGCCATCCCACGCTCCAGCTGTGCAGAGTCCTTGGTCCGCTGAGTCTCAGAAACCCGCGCTGCTCATTTCTTAACTTGGGAAGTAGGCAGTGACTAAGTCAGGGGCTCCGACTTAGTTCCCAGTTCTGCATCTGTGGATCTGTGAGGTCACAGGAAGGTCGGTTCTCTGTGTTTCCTGTACGTACTGCAGGCTGAGATTAGTTTGTATATATAGTCATTGCCTGTGCTCCCCGAGAGACTCCGGAAGGACGCATGTCCTGGGGACGGGCACGGCAGTGCAGCGCGTCCCACTGTCACTTGGGACACCCATGGCCTTTATTGAGGCACTGAGGAGCGAGTGCTTCCTTTGCCTCTGACGCAGCTTCCCGCACAGGCACACCTTTGGAGCAGCAGATGATGGCTCAAGTGTGTGTTGTCTGGCACACAAATCGGGGAGGCCTGAACAGAGTTCCTGGCTCTTGACTCCAGACTGGCCCAGCTGTTGGGCAGGTACTTGGAGGAATAAACTAGTAGATGGAAAAGTCTCCTTCTAGTTTGGTATGTTCTGCTGACTTTAGGACCCTTATCAGGGAAGCGTGAATCACAGCTGCTGCTTGAGTCAGCACAGTTTTCATTGTTAGCTTACATTCATTGCAAATGAGAGCAATTGTATAGATACTTACATAGATAGTGTCCAGGCGTGTAAAGCTGAGTGTGCAGCATATGGGAGTAAGTGTTCAGTCAATACCTGGAAATGATTAAAGTGAGAAGAGGTAGGCGTTTGGTAGAGCAGTGAGGGTGCTTGGGGTACTCGCACCGCACCGCACATTGGAATGCCAGTTTGAGGAACTGGTTCGAGTTTACAGAGCAATTGCAAACCTGATTACAGGTTCCTACTCGCGTGCTGGGGGACCGCTGTCATGGGTTAAGTGGTCGGTCCTGCTTGGAGCCCATGTGGAAGATCAGGTTGAGTCTTTGCTTTCAGCTTTGGCCTGCCCAGCCCTGGCTGTTGCAGGCACTTAGTCAGCAGATGGGACTTGTTCTCTGTCTCCCTGCCACTTCAATCAATCACTCAATCAATCACTCAATCACTCAATCAAAATCGGTCCAGCTTGAGTTTCTGTGTTCTTTGCTTATGAACCTAAGTGTGAAGATGTTACAAAAGACTCATGAAAAACTAAAGCTGAGAGATGTTTATTTTGGTGAAGAAATTTTTTGAAATCTGTGTATAATATTTAATATTTTCCAGCTATTCCACCAATTGTTAAAATTATTTGTACTGTTTGATTCAGGATCTCTTGCACTGAGTAATCTCTCAAATCTCCTTTAATTAGCAAATTTTTTTCCTTCTCTCTTTTTGTCATTTTTTGATTCAGCAAACCAGATTATAAGTTATGTAAAATTTCTCATACGATTGATTTTTACTGATTGCTCTCTCAAGGTAACCTTTGGCAAGGTTAAATCTGTCATGAGTAGTTTCCCCAAACCGAGGTGTTCAGTTGGTGGCTTCAATGGGCTCTGCTTTGACTTTGCTAATAAAAAGTAATCATAGAGGTTACTGAGCTCTTTGCTCAGGTCCCATTGGGGGACCTGTCATGTCTGATAACCTCTGGGGTCTGTTATGAGCCCATCCTAACAGTTCCATTCAAAAAATCCAATCAGCCCTTCATGTGCCTAGGTGCTCTAAGCCCTTCCTGCACAGTGGAACATCTGGGGAGTGGCTACGGTTCTGTGCCCACACCCCACTGCCCAGGCTTGGTCCGTAGTAGACCTGGACTCAGAAAAGCGTTGGGTCTTAGATGATTTTGATGTACAGACAGGATTGGGAACACCTAACCTGGTAAATTTGGCAGTCATTGAGGACATTTCCCGAGACGCATTAGTTCTGACGGGTGTGTGCAAAGGCAGTGTTTGTGCTTTCTGCACATACCAGCACAAATTCTCCCAGGAAAACTCTCACCGAACCTTTGCTTCTCTTCTCTGTAAGTTTTATTTATCTATTCATTTATCTCTATATCTATTTTGATTTGAAAGGTAAAGAGAAAGAGAGTTAAGTGAGAAAAAGTAGGACAAATAAAAATATTGGATTCTTATCAGTTTTCCAAATGAGTGGAATTTCTAGGATCTTCCAGAAGTTTCTAAAATGAGTTTTGTTTAAACATTATTACTGGTTTCTGCACTTAAACATGTTTGGTTTGTTTCAAACTCTAGTGTTTATTACTATTGTTTTAATGTTCACTTAAAAAATCACTCCATTGAAAGTTGCTCCTGTGGTTTTTTTTTGGACGCACTTTTTAATTGCTCAGTAACGTTTACTTGGTTTTTCGCTTTTAGATTTGACAGTGTGATGGTTCTATAGTTCACTTACCTTGTCTCATTTCTGTCCTGAAATTAGAATCAACCATTTGGCAGTTTTGGTTTCTTTATCCTAATTAGTGGTGTTCTGTTTAATGGCTATGACATGATTACAAAACAGAATGACAAGCATTTACAGTAATCATAAGTTGCAGTGGTGTCAAATGGAACCTAGGAGAAACATGAAGGTTACATAACTTAGATCCTTTGCTTTAAAATTCTGGATACATTAAGCCCTCGGTAACCAGTGTTGTGTTTGTTTCTTCCAAGTTGATGTCCATCAGTGTGCTGGCCGTTTCTGCTTGGATGAGGGACTACCTGAATAATGTTCTGACTTTAACTGCGGAAACAAGGTAAGTTTTTTTGGTGATTCCTCAAGTCCCTTGGGCAAGTGGCCTCAGATGCTGACTTTTGAGTGACTTTGCCAACTTTGCCCTCCACTGTGTGTATGGCCGTGGTCTTCTACAGGCTATGGGAAAAGCTTTCTTGATCCATGGCGCTATTGTTCGCAGACACCTGCAGTATCTGACATCTTCCTAGAGGTGTGTGCTTGGTCTCTGTTGGGGAATTATGTAGCCTTGTGTTCATAGGAATGTTCTTGGACACAGTACTATTAGTCACCTGGATTCCTTGAATGCTTGTCAGCTACATCATATTTATATACATATGAAGCAGTATAGCTACTTAGGCTTAGCAATTACTGTTAAAGACGGGTGTTTGGGTTGGAATGTCAGAACTTCAAGTTGGAGAACAGGTTCAGATCTTGGCTGTGCCTCTGGTTGCAGCTTCTTGCCAGCGCATCCCTGGGAGGCAGCAGTGGTGGTTCTGGTTCTTGGGTATCTGAATGACTTCCAAGCCTCTGCTCTGGGCCTGGCCCAGCGCCAGTTGTAACGGGCGTTTAGGGAATGAACCAGTGAGCTCAAAGTCTTTGTGGCTCTGCTTCTCCTCTCTCTTTCAAACAAATAAAAATATATTTTTTTTTCAAAAAACCTAGTGCCAGCCTGTTCTTGCTGTCATATTCTTGGGCTAATGAAAATCTAACTTCACAGAACTATTTCCTTCTTCAGCTTCAAGGGCTGATTTCCTAACATCACTTGGGCCACACTCACCAGTTTCTTCATCTCTGGATGGGGATTGCAGTAGGAAACCTTCAGAACTGTGTTAAGGATTAAAGCAGGACATTTTGGCCTTTAACATAATTAAGCTTAACAAACATTTAATTGTTTTTAATTTTGATAGTGCTATTATTACTGGTTCTAGTTGATGAATTTTGCATAACGTCCTAGTGAAAATGATCTTTCTACCTTCCTCTCTGTTTGAATGTCAAACAGCTAGCTTCCCATTGTGCCTTTCACATCTTGATGGAGAAATCAGTTGTCAAGAAGAAGGAACCTGCTGCTGTGAGCTCAAAGATCAGAGAAGAGAAACAGAATTCTTCCCCCTGGGAAGCAGCACATTTTTACGTAGGCTAAGTCCTCAGAGCTCATGGTAGATGCCTTTCTTATTGAGTTCGCCCATTATGTTTTAAATGAGTTGGGCTGGGGATGCTCCCACTTAAATAAAGAACTAGACCAATATAGAACAAGATAAAGCAAACAAGCACCCCAAAACAATAGCAAACCAAAACAACAGTGAATTTGAAAACACCAGTGCAGTCAGTACCGTTGAGGCATGAAGAGTTAAACAAGAGCGCAGCTCACCACTGCACCTGTTGCAGGTTTCAGGTACATTTTCTTGATATGTTATTTTGAATGCAATCTTCTTTTTCTTCTTTCAGGGTGGAGGAGGCAGTCATCTTGACTTACTTTCCCGTGGTTCATCCGGTCATGATTGCTGTCTGCTGTTTCCTTATCATAGTGGGGATGTTAGGGTATTGTGGAACGGTGAAAAGAAACCTGTTGCTGCTTGCATGGGTATGTGTTTATGTCTCCTCTTCATGAAAGACCAACCAACGATGTGTTATTTTTTCATCAGTTCACAAGGTTAGGAACCTGTGATGGTAGCAATTGTAATCTGTGTTAATTGTTCAACATCCTGTGAGAAAGGAAGCGCTTTTTCCAGCGGAGATGATTTCAGTACAAGGACTTTCTGTCTGCACAAATGCTGAGCTTTAGAAAAATACACGCTTTCTGTTATTTTATTCTGGCAAAGTGGTGACATTATCATTTGGATATAATGTAGTCTTTCTTATGAGAGAAAGGTCAAAAAGGTCTCTGAGAGGCCTTAATGAATTTTTAACTTTTTTCCTCTTCATTTTTAATTTAAAAAAACTTTGAGTATCATAAAAAGACAGAGAGAGAGAGAGAAAGAGAGAGAAGTTTGAGATGCTGGTGCACTTCCCCAGTGCCCACAGTGGCCTGGCCTGGGCTGGTCTGTAGCTGGGCGGCTAGAATTCAGTTGCAGTGCAGGTACTGGCTCCAAGGACTGCATTAGCAGGAAGCTGGGATCAGAATAGAGCAGTTGCTTAACCACAGGTGTACTAATGTGGGAGGTAGGCGTATTAAGTGGGTCCTAATCAGCAGGCCAAATGCAAAGCTCAAAAACACACTGTGTAGTTCTTTGAAAGAGTGTTCAGTATATGCATTATCCCATGCAAGTGACCGCATATGGTAAGGATGCTGGGACATGACCCTGTGTGGCATGCTGCTGGCACCACAGGTGGCAGTTCAACTGACAACACCATATAGCCTGCCGTGGCAATGTACTTTGTGACTCTTACGATGCCAGTCTTACCTGGAGGACTGTGGGCTTTAGGCCACTCGTTTATTCATTCTTTCTTTCTTCAAGGTCTTACAGAAAGTAATACATACCTGCTTTTACATTCCAAAAGATATGTTTGGAAAACAGTTGTGTTACCTAGTCTGATTTGCGCTATGTGCTCGAGGCCAGTGAGGCAGAGCTCTGCTCGGACTGGAAGGGATGGGACTCCGTGCACTGTTCTTGCTTTGTCTCAATACACCATCTCCCCACTTTGCTTGTTAGATGCACCCTTTTCCAAGAAACAACCTCACATTTTTAAAACTCATTTATTGGAAGGATAGAGTGACAGAGAGAAAGACAGAAAGAGAGAGAGGTTTTCCATCTGCTGGTTCACTTCCTAGTAGCTACGACAGCTAGAACTAGGTCTGGTAGCTGGGCTGTGATGCCATTCGAACTAGTGTAAATAAGGCCAGTGTTCATCACATTGGTCAAAACACTGCGACAGAACTTCTTTCCAAATTTAACCTCAACCTGTTCTCCAGAAGACCAGCAACAGAAACAGGAAACCCGAGCTAAGAAGCTGCATTTCTGATGAGCTTTGGTCACAAATTTCACCTTTCTGTTGATTACAGATACCTCAGTATCAGTTGTTCCAATACCTCAGTTTAAGTTCCTCAGTAAGATTCAGGATGGGCAGTTCAAATGTATTTCAGACAAACAAGGTACAATGCGTTAGTGTGAGTGTATCTCATGTGAAATTTAGGATAGCCATATAGAAAGCATTATTGATTATTTATCTGAAAACTAGTCCTAATGGGCATCCTGTGTTTTATTTGTTGAGTCTGGCTACCCTACCTAGTTAGATTTGTTGTTGGAACTTTCATGGAGTGAAAACTCGTATATATTTGTATGAGGAGATGAAGAATAATTGAATTCTGATCCTAAAGGAAAAGTCAGCTAAAAGTGAACAGGAAGAGAAACTTGGATATGTGATGACTTTCAAAGTAATTCCAGTGGCAAGAATTCCTTCGCTGTTTGAAATAGACATCATAGCTAAGTGGCAGTTGGTGTGAAGCCATAGATGGTTGCTCCCCAAGCCTTTGCAGGAAACGAAATGAAATTCACTTGTTATTGCAGTTCTACCTTGCCATTAGCGCAGACATTAGAGAGGCAGTGCTGGCTCACGGGGAATATAAACAGGTGAACAGACGTGTTTACATTGTCGATATCAGCGGAATGTCACCATTCAGAGAGCATCATTTGTTGGAATGTGATGCTAATGTATCCTGAAGTGCCGCAAGCCACAGCAGTCAAGGACTTATCAGAAATGAAGTGGCATGGACCTGGACCTTCCATGTTCAATATCAATGAGTTGCATGCAAAAGGAAGTGGTTTTTTTCCCCTTTAATTTTTATGATTCCAGGGAGTTAGCATATGGTTGGTGATTGTGTGGATAATTTTTTTAAAGATTTGTTTATTTTATTGGAAAGTCAGATACACAGAGAGGGGGAGAGACAGAGAGGAAGATTTTCCATCTATTGATCCCCCACCCCCCCAACACCACAAGTGGCTGCAACAGCCAGAGCTGAGCCAATCCAAGGTCAAGAGCCAAGAGCTTCCTCCAGGTCTCCCATGTGGGTGCAGGGTCCCAAGTCTTTGCGCCATCCTTGATTGCTTTCCTAGGCCACAAGTAGGGAGCTGGATGGGAAGTGGGGCCATAGGGATTAGAACCGGTGTCCATATGGGATCTCGGCACATGCAAGGTGAGGACTTTAGCCACTAGACTGCCACACCAGGCCCAACAATTTTTTTAAAAAAAAGATTTATTTTATTTTTGTTATTTAAAAGGCAGCATGGCAGAGAAAGAAATCTGTTTGCTGGTTCATTTCCTAAACAGCCACAAAAGCCAGGTCTGAGCCAGGCCCAAGGTGGGAGTTAGAACCTGCCTCCTGGTCTCCCACATGGCTGACAGGTTCCTATGTACGACTGCTGCCTTCCCAGGCACCCTAGCGGAGAGCTGGATTGGGAGCAGTGTAGCTGGCACTAGAACTGGCACTCAGATAAGAGATAGCTGGTGTCATAAGCAATGGCTTATGCTGTGCCACAATGCTGTCCTCTGTTCAGGAGAATTTTTGAGGCTGTCTTAAAATATGATGGTCGAACCAGATATGCACATTATCCTTATTAGAAACCAAGGAAACTTCTAAAGATCGTGGAAATATTACCCCTCTTCAAGATCTTATTGTCTAAAACCATAACAAAAAGCTTGAATGTCTTTTTGTTTTCTTTGTCTTACTTGTTTGAAAAGCAAAGAAAGAGCTAGATAAAGGGAGAGTCTCCTGTGAGCCGGTTCACACTGTCAGTGTCCTCACAGAGGGGTGGGGAGAAATTGACGCTGAGACCAGGAACTGTAGCTGGGTTCCCGTGTGAGTGTCAGGCTCCCGGCTACTGGAGTTGCACCCTTCTGCATGCCAGGCTGTGCGTTAGCAGGACGCTGCTGTAGGGAGTGGAGTCCACATGGAAGTTAGGTAGCTCGATCTGGGATGCCACATGCCACATGCCACATGCCTGTCCTCCATCCTCCACAGTATCTGTAACTAGTCCTCCGTTTTCTGAACCTTCTCTCATTCTGGAGAGTGTATGTGTATATATGCCATTTAATCAGTTCTGGACATTTAAGCTTAAATGATTATGTCAAATGTTTATTATTTTTGTTTTTGGTTAATAGCAATTTTATTGCGAATCCCGGTCCCCCTCTCATGTAGGTAATATCTGCCTCTGCCCGAGGCTTCATCTTTGTTTTCTGATACAACACTGCACAGCTCTGAGCGGTGAGAGGCAGCCTGCACAAGGACCCACAGCGGTGCTGGCATTAGCTTTCCAAATACATGATTGCATGCAGCACGCTACGATTAGAATACAGTGAGTCAGTTGCCAGCATTATTTCTTCTGTCTGAGTATGCTTCATTTGTTATTGCAAGGCGTTCAGTAGTCACTCAACTTTAAGACATATGATCTTTTCGTATTCTTATTACAGAAGTAACTGTAACATTCAGCCGTCATCATCATTGTCTCTAATCAAGGAAATGCGCAGTCTCTTCCTTTTACTCCTCCTTCCTTCCCAGTCTCCTCTCTTTCCCCTCCTTTTAAATGTGTGTTGAGTCTAAATTTGTGGTAGACACTTGAAACACAAAGATGAAAGAGGAGAATACAGAAAAAAGCAAAACAATTTGCTAATAAATCACCACGGGGTCTTCAAACCAGGTGCCATCAGAAGCATCCAGAAGACTGCACAGCAGCCTCTATTTGAAAATGGATATTGAACCTGCAGTGGGGTTTCTGTTGGAGAGAGGAAGGGAGCGTGAATGGGCCATGCGTACATTGTGTGGCAACAGAGAGGCGTGAAGGGACAGGTTTAGAATTCAGGGCACACTGGGAACAGGAAGTAGGGCCGAGTGTGAAGGTCTTTGGAGCGTGGGCTGGTGCAGTCCATGGGTGACCGAGAGCAGTGTTTCTAGCTCGGGCTGAAATGATAATTCCTGTTTAGGGCGAGAGGCAGCAGGAAGCCTTGTTAATGGTTACACTGTAGTTTTGGTTTATGCAGGGGCTCACAGTGGAGTTTTGTGTCTGCCTCTGTTTCTTAGCTGAGGTCGGTTTGACTGGGCCTAATCCTACTGCAGGAAAACTTGTAAGCAGATGTAATTAAAAGCACATGTTGTGTCAGAAACAGGGGCCCCAGGACACCTGTGTGCTGTTCGTGGCCCTGGCGTTAGGCTTTTGTGCAGGATTTGGGGGCTCATTGGAAGTCTTGCTTACTTCAAGGTTTTGAAATATAAACGGCCTTTGGTTTTATATTTCTGACCTTTGCACAATTCAGATGTACTCTGTTACAGTAATGCTTTCAAGGCTTGACCTATATTGCCTCTTAGAGTATACCTTTGCAGTGCCTTTAGTTAGCTGAAAGCCGAGTGCACCTGGATTTGGTGGCTGTCCCCAGCCCTGGAAAGTTCAGAGCCGGTGTCCTTGAGCAGCTGTTGTCAAGCTTGCGCTAGCACCAGGTCAGCAGGTGCAGCTCTGTGGTTCATCCAGCAGTTTGACCGTGTTTTTGCTTTCTTGCAAACCTGTACCTTGTCTCTGCTGACTTCCTTAGGCAAACATAAATGGCTGACCTTCATTTAAGATCGTGTAGCTGTCTAGGTGACTAGGAAACTGT